AAAAAAAAAAAAAAAAAAAATTAAGAAACACTACTATTTTACCTTCTCATCAGGTAATTATCATGGATTTGTTTGCCCAGTTGTTAAGAATTTGACCTAAATATCAACCTCTCCTTGATATTTGTTTCTATAGTTGAACAGACACAGAAGTCCCTGCAAAGATCTTCATTAGCCAAAGTAAACTTGTTTTAGGGAAGCCGTGTTTCTGTTAGTGATGAGAAGGAAGAGAGGGTCTACAGTTGAGCTTGTATAGACTTGGCTATGGGATTAAGTATGGGGTAGAACAGGTTTTTAAATTCATAGTAGGCATTTCAGACGTTATTTGTTCTGAACTGGAATATCAGAAGTACAGGCCCATAAGAAAGAAATCTTTGGCTATAATTTGTTGTATAGATAAGAACTATATAAAGGAGACTCTGGTGATTTTTCGAAATTGGAAGCACTGTGAATTTTTATAGTTAAATTAGTATTAGGTCTTCCTCACCAAATAACTTGTGTAGGTAGAGGAAGAGTGGTGGGCATCTTACTGAGTTGACTGCCATATAGATTATTTTTATTCCTGATGAAGCCTTTGTTCTTCAGTTTTATTTTGTTTTCTTAACACTCCATCATTCTGGGAGGATCTTAAATGTTTAACAACATTTTTGTAAGTTTTTACAATGGTGCCTTTAGACTACTATTCTTAATTTGTAACATGTAAAGGAAAATAAACCTAATCACTACCCCTACCTCCCACCCCTTTAAATACCCAAATAAAACCGTCCATCCTCTCAGGAAATTCACTTTTCTTAGATAGCCTTTCTCCCTTGGGCACCACACAGCAGTTATGGGTAATTGTATGCCAGTCCCAGGGAACATAGTGTATTGTTCAAAGATTGAAGTATTTTTAAGTGATAAATGGTGACGCAGATAGCCGCATTTGACCTGAACAGCAAGTTTGTGGGAGTGCTGTTCCTAGATCTCCTGAATCAGGCAAGCCCTCTTCTGAATCAGTGAAGTCCTTTTCTTTCTTCTGCCAAATATACCCATCTAATAAGTATTTGTACTGCCAGCACTTTCATGCTGAGATAGAGTAATTTTTAGTCAGCTATAGTGATTTTTTTTATAACACCAAAGTCCTCTATCTTAGATTTGGTTTTCTTTGCTTTGCTTTGCTTTGTTTTGTTATTTTTAGAGACGGGCTATCACTATGTAGTTCAGGCAGTTTGAACTCACTGTATATCCCATTCTGGCCTCAAACTCAGAGTGATCCTCCTACCTCAGCCTCTCTCAAGTGCTGAGATTACAATTGTGTTGCCACCAGGTAATTTTTTTTTTTTTGAGTTTATTGGTACATTTAGGGATACAGTACAGTTACATTCATTGTTGGGATCATGTACCTTTACATGGCAAGTCTTGATTCTCATTTTTTTCCCCTTACCTCTGCCCTCCCTTCACCCCCTCCTCCCCTCCCCATCTACAAACACTTTATTTTCATCTTTTCATTCTCTCACATTTTTTTCTTTTCCCTTTTTGTTCTTCCCCTACGTATCACACCTTCCCTACACCTTTAGCTCCTTTCCTCCCATTTCTAAATGTCAGTAATCTTATTAGAATCTTATGCATTGTTGCAGAATATTCACACCAGGGAAACTATTTGGTATTTACACATGTGGGACTTATTTATTTCACTTAGGAGTATATCTTCAATATGTATCCATTTTCCTATGAATGAATCTATTCTCTCGCTCTTTATGGCTGAGTAATATTCCATTTTATAGAAAAACCACAACTTCTTTATCCAGTTTCCAACGGATGGGCAAATAGGTTGTTTCCAAGATTTAGCTATTACAAACTGTGCCGCTATAAACATGGGTGCACATACTTCTCTGTGATATGATTCTTTTAGTTCTCTTGGAAAGATACCCAACAGAGGGATGGCTGGGTCAAATGGAACCTCCAGTCCAAGCTCTTTGAGGTATCTCCATATTGATTTCCATAGTGGTTGCACTAGTCTGCACTCCCACCAACAATGGAGGAGGGTTCCTTTCTCCCCACAACCCCGCCAACATTTGTTATTGTGTGATTTCTTGATAGCAGCCATTCTTTGTGGGGTGAGGTGGAATCTCAGTGTTGTTTTCATCTGCATCTCTCGAATGACCAGTGATGTGGAACATTTTTTCATATATTTTCTTGCTGCTTTCACTTCTTTGTATGAGAAATGTCTGTTCATTTCGGATGCCCATTTTTGGATCGGGTCTTTATATTTGGGGGGACTGATTGTTTTGAGTTCTTTATATATCCTTGATAATAGTCCTTTGTCTGAGGTACAGCTGGTAAAAATTTTTTCCCACATTGTAGATTGTCTCTTAGTTCTGCTAATGGTTTCTTTTGAAGTACAGAAGCTTTTTAGTAAGATGAGATCCCAGTTGTTGATTCTTTCTGCTAGTTCCCGTGCTACTGAGGATTTGTTCATAAAGTCTTTTCCTATACCAATGTCTTCCAGAGTTCTGCCTAACTTACTTTCCAGCAAGTTTAATGTTTCTGTTTTAATATTTAGATCTTTAATCCATTTGGATTTTAATTTAGTGCATGGCGAAAGATAAGGGTCTAATTTTAATCTGTGGCAGGTTGATATCCAGTTTTTCCAACACCATTTATTAAAGAGGCTATCTTTCCTCCACTGAGGATGGTCAGCTCCTTTGTCGAAGATGAGGTAGCTGAGTACATCTGCATTTGTTTTTGTGTCTTCCAGTCTGTTCCATTGATCCTCAGGCCTATTTCTTTGCCAGTACCATGCTGTTTTTATCACAGTGGCTTTGTAGTATAGTTTCAAATTGGGAATTGTTACACCACCACCAGGTAATTTTTAAAAATATAATGAAAGCTCAAATACACAAAATAAAAAGGACAATTTCAATAGCAATACTGAGATATAATTCAGATACTATAAAATCTACCCTCTGAGGTGTACGATTCAGTAATTTTTAGTACATTCACAGAGTTGTACAACTATCACCAGTGTCTAACTTTAAAATACTTTCATTACCCTAAGCAGAAAACTTTGTACCATTGGTAATCATGTCCCGTTCTCCTCTGTCCTCTCACCCCTTAGCGGCCACTAAAGTACTTTTAGTTTCTACAGCAGTGATAGTGTTTAGCACACATGCTGCAGCAGACACTTGAGCCAAGTTGCCCCAGCCATGGTTTGACAAATTATCATCATGCATACAGCAGCAAAGATCACAGTAATTGTATGAAAGCACTCCAACTGTAAATTTTTACCTTTCAATAAAAAGCTGTTTGTGCCATTGAAAGCTCTGTTCTTGTATTTTTCTTTTGAAACAAAAGATGTTAATGCATGAGTTTTTTCTAAACTACAACCTCAGTATTCAGGTTTAAGTGCAGTATTGGCACTTTGATAAATAAGTGGGTTTGGGGTTGCAGTTTGGACGGTGGGTCTCTAAAAGGTTCACCATCACTGCTCTCTAGATTTGCCTGTTCTGGACCTTTCATACAGAGTCACACAGTATGTGACTTTGGAACTGCCTTCTTTTACTTAATGTTTTCAAGTTTCATTCATGTTGTAGCATATGTCAGTACCTTTTTCCTATTTATGGCATAATACCCTATTTTATGGATATCTCACATTTTGTTTATCCATTCATCAGCTGATCAATAATTTTAGAAAAAGAATAATTTCTAAACTTAATTTTTTTCATTTTTCTAAGCAATCTAGTAGCCATTGCATTTGCTTTGGCCATATTTAAGGCTCTACTTTCCTGTTTTGAACCTAGTCATTAATTCTGCAAAGCATTGTCTTCCAAAAGCTTTCCTCTTGCACTGCTAAAGAACTTCTCTGAGTAAGCATCTCAAATACCAAAGAAAGAGGTTGAGTACTGTAATCTTACTATCCTGATCTGTAAGAAGTGGAATCTGATTTATGAAAATGAGAGGATGAATCAATTATTCCACATGAATTTTAATTAAAATATTTTAATGTACCTATCTGTCCTTCTTGGGTACTTAGTAAAGAGCTGTGGGCATTCAAGAAAGCAAAGCTATCACATTGGTGCAGCCTGACCAGTTTTTAAAATGAAATTCTTTGCTGGTGGTCAACAGTCATTCCTGGGAGCATCTACAGTCCACTTTTGCCCCCCGTATCCTTCCCGGTTCTCCGTATGTCAGTAGCTTAAGTGAGTAGTCCCCCAGGTCCACAGTGATTTAAATGTTAAGTATCATTACTATTACCTCACAGGAAATTAAGGCTCTTACAAAGTTATAGGAATATTGAGTGAGGTAGGAGACTAGTGTTAGTTACAGCTTTGTTCTTAGCTACTTTTAGTATTGGCTAAGCCACTCCTGTATTTGTATCCTCAGGTCCATAATTAAAAGTAATGCTACCCTAAATACTGTACAAAACTGTTGCAAAAGATTAGAGTTTTGAGGCCAAGATACATACTATATACTAAGTTATCTGTGGAATTGTTATCACTGCTTTAGCTTAATTCTTTGTATAAAAATATTTTGAGTAAATAAATACATATATGCAAACAATTGTATTAAGTCTTAATCTTTACTACCAGCCTTGCTGGTAATAGGCTTTTAATTATTGAATCCATGAACTTTCTTCATATTCACTTTGTAATTCTGTTAAATATTTCTTAAAATCACTAGAATTTGATGAAAAGTGTTGTCACTTGTGTTATGTTTTGCTCATCGTATTAGGTATATACCAAATCAGCAAACAAATCAAAGCTCATGATGGCAGTGTATTCACACTTTGTCAGCTGAGAAATGGAATGCTATTAACTGGAGGAGGGAAAGACAAAAAAATAATTCTGTGGGATCATGATCTGAATCCTGAAAGAGAAATAGAGGTAAGGATGAAAATGGAACATAAAAATAGTAAAGATTCTATACTCATGTATTTTGTCCTACATTATGATAATTTAACTTTTCAGGGAAACTGGTGCATCTTTATCATTGCACTTCTCCCACATAGAAAAGAATTTCTTATTACACAAAATAATTTGCTGTTAAAATAATTTTTTGAAAAACAGGTAACTGTCTTACATTTCTGAGATCTATTGTGATCCAAAAATATAACTATCCAAACTTTAATTCAGCAAAAATGCCATTGAACACTAATCAAGTCCAGTGTGTACAAGATGACCAGTTTAGTTTTAAAACTTGAAAATAATCTTCTCAACATCAGGCTTATGGGCCAGGGATTTAGCTCCATGGTACTGCACCTGTCTCACAAGCACAACACTGTGTGTTCAATCCCCAATACCAACAACAAAAAGCATCAAGCTCACCGAGAGTTGTATGCGGATATGTCTACACCATGACATGGAAAAGATTTAACCAGGAGGCTTGATGAATATTATATACTCAATGAAAGTTTGCTAATTAAATTGAGATCTCAGGAAGTAAAATAATTAAGAGTAGTATTTTAGATCAATGATTCTTAAATCAAAAACAAATCTCAGTCTATTGTTGCTTCTAATTTTTTGTTCACTTTTACTTTGAATTTATGCTTAGTGGTTTTTTTTCTCAATATAACCTGCTTTCCAGACAAAGTCTTCTGTAAAGAAGATTCTTACAGTATTGCTCTTGGGTTTTATTTTCAAGAAGAAAGATCTGCTTTAACACAACCTTAAATTCACACTGGAAATGTCACTTCTTTTGCTATTTCTGTACTTCACAGATAACTCATATCCTGTGTAATCAAAAACTACAAGCTTGTTCACACCTTCATTCCCTTCATTCACCATTTCTGACAAATTTGGACTCATTTGTGTTTTTAGAAATCATATGGTTGGTTTGGTTTTGGTTTTACTATTTTATAGTGCTGGGGATTGTACCCAGGGCTTTTCACATGCTAAGAAAGTACTCCATGACTGAGTTACAGTCCCGCTGCATAAAGAATTTAGTTATTTCAGTCCTTGTTTGGGATCATTATAATTATTAACATAACATTCACAAAGTGTACTATGTAGTGTACTAAATGTAATTGGACTCCCAAAGAGTCCTCTTAATGGCAGTTATAATTCTATACAATGCAATCATCCCTCAGTATCTTCAGAGATTAGGTCTAGGACTGCCACCTCATGGTTACCGAAAACTATGGGTGTTCATGTGCCTTATATAAAACGGTAGATAGTTGTGCATAACTTCTGCACATCCTGCTCGATACAAGTCATGTACATTACAGTACCTACTGCAGTGTAAATGCTGTGTGAATCATTATTACTATTGTATTGGTTAGGTTTTGACAAAGGAGGAGTTCTGCACAGGTACAGTGCAGATGAAGGTTGGTTGAATCCTTGGATGCAGAACCCCTAGATACAAAGGGCTAGCTGCCTGTGTATTAGTTTATAAAGAAATTTGGTGCCAGGTGTGGTGACACATGCCTGTAATCCCAGCCCTCGGGAGGATGAGGCAGGAGGATCGCTGAGTTCAAGACCAGCCTGGGCTATGTAGTGAGCTCCAGGTCAGTCTCAACTACATAGTGAGACCCTGTCTCAAGAAACTTAAAAAAAAAGAAGAAGAAGAAATTTCGTTTGTATTATTTTTTATTTTGATCCTTACAACAATCAAGAGTAGGTAGGTATTATCCCCATGTTACAGATAAAGTAATTTTTCTTAGGCCAAGTCACTTAACCAAAGTGACAAATACAGACCATTATTCATGTACTCTAATAAACTTACTTTTTTTTTCTTCCTATTTCTAACTTTTAACTCTTGAAATCATAAATTACAAACTTAAAATTTAACAGAAACTGACTGGAGTTTAATGGTAAGAGCATGTTGGGCTAGATTCCCAACACTTCAAAAAAAAGAGACCTGAATGAAGAATGTTCATAGTAGTGCATTATAACTATTCTGTAATAAAATTTGATTATCTGAACAAATAAATAACAGTATGAGCTTACTGGATTGTCTTCAAATTTACAGTTTTGTCATTCATTTCCCAGTAATCGTTTATCACTATAAATGCAGCCATTGTTCAGGTAGAAATTAACGCATATTAGTATGTATATGGTAAATTTCAAATTTCTTTTTTTCTAGGTTCCTGATCAGTATGGCACAATCAGAGCTGTAGCAGAAGGAAAAGCAGACCAATTTTTAGTAGGCACATCACGAAACTTTATTTTACGAGGAACATTTAATGATGGCTTCCAAATAGAAGTACAGGTAAACTGTATTATATCAATGATTACCTGAATATTTTTGGTGATACCCTTTGGCTGTTATAACAACGAGTGACTTTCGATTCCCAGGGTCACACAGATGAACTCTGGGGTCTTGCCACACATCCCTTCAAAGATTTGCTCTTGACATGTGCTCAGGACAGGCAGGTGTGCATGTGGCACTCATTGGAGCACAGGCTGGAATGGACCCGACTCTTGGATGTGAGTGAAGCAGATGTGGTTAATAATGTCCCCCTGCATACTTTCAGTCAGAAGTAGCGAAGGAAAAAACACAAAGCCTTGATTCAAGGCAGGAGTAAGAGGGGAGTCTCGAGATATAACATGACCCTGCTTTAAAGAAGCAGAGTCCCCAAAAAAAGCAGAGCCACAGAGTAGAAACTCAATTTTTCTGTTTCATGGCAAAAATCCTAAAGATTTCATGTATTTATGGAGCATTAATTATTATGAAATGTTTGGGCCTCTGGTAGTGATAATGGAGTCAGTATGTACTGCTCACTTAACAGCGTTGGCTCTCCTTTTTTGAGTGATCTCTTACTGTACTTTCTCCCTGTGACACAGATAAACATCTTTTCTAGCCTAAAGGGTATATGGAAGTTAGGAACTGTACAGATGTTTGATGCTATCCTTATTATTGATCAGCTTAGCCACAGTAAGTTGTCTTATTCCCTTCCCATTCCAATGGCATATCCCCTTCATGCTCTGACGTCCTTTTTTCTCTCATATCCAGTATTTATCATTGGCTGCAGTTCCATACTTATATGAAACTAGTTCTTTTCAAAAGTGTTTTTCCCACAGTCCCCTTAGGTGTAGGGAGCCTTTCTCACATATTCCCCAATGGCTATCTTGTCTCTCTTCTAGGAACCAGGACACTGTGCAGATTTCCATCCAAGTGGCACAGTGGTGGCCATAGGAACGCACTCAGGCAGGTAGGGTCTTTACGTGAGCTGAGTAATCTGAACCGGTGGGTTGTTTATACTCTTTCTCTGGGAAGTTCCTGTTCTGACGTGGAGAATGATCTAAGTGGCACACCGATAGGCTTGCTGCTCTTCTCTGTTACATCTTCTCATGCATTCATTCTCTGTTGAGCACCTGCCTTTCACTTACTGTATCTTACTGTGGGCATGCAGGATACGTTAGTGGGCAAAACAAAAATCCTGCCTTTCTGGAGCCTACATTTTAATGTGTGTGAGGAGTGGATGCAAAGTAAGAAATTAGCATTATAGCTAATTATGTGACAGCCATGGGAAGGGAGGGAAATGATTACAAATGGGGATTGGGTGGGGGTACAATTACAAAAACGGTAAAACAGGTTGGTCAGGATAGGCTTAATTGGGGATGTGGTACGAGACTTAGCTCTCCTTTCTGCAATTAGAAATACCAAAAATGTTCTCATTGTCCTTTGTGCAGGGAAGGTATTTGAAACTTATATAACTCAATGAGTAACATATTTATTATCTGTATTTTTTGTTTGGTATTTGGTATTTTTGAGACAGGAACTCAGTGGGGAGTACAGGCTGGTCTTGAAATCACCGTGTAGCCAGGCTGGACTCCCACTCCTGGTGATCTTCCTGCCTCAGCCTCCTAAGTGTTGAAATAAATAACAGGCACACACCACCACGCTGGGCTTGTCTCTGTTTTTAATGAGTACCTACTTACTGATATTGCTGTTATCTAGTCCCCACCATGTATAACTTAATTTCCTTTTTAAGGAGGCACAGGAAAAATAAGAAGTCAATTCTCAGAAAAATTAAACCCATTAAAAAATCTCAAATACTGATTTCCAGTAGGCGTGAAACTACTGAGAACACATTTGTGTAAATATCATTTTTTATTTATTTAACTTAAATATTTCATGTAGTTCATTTAAGTCAGTCATTTGAAATTTTATTATAGTACATTTTTCTCTTTGGTTTTGGATATAATTAATACCTCTGAAAAGTGAAAACACTGAAACTTTTTCAAATATAGTGTAGCAGAGCATCAGGCTTTACTAACTCAGATTTTCCTGTGTCCATAATAGACTATACAGGGTTTAAAAGCATTTAGACTTGGACCAGATAGAGAGGCATGTGATGGGTCACTCTGTTGAACTTGATTCAAAAGAAGTTGTTTTCTCTTTTGACCAAAAAAAAAATTGGTCTTAAGCACATAAGAATCAATACGTAGAACATACTATATAACCTATAGAAATAAAAGCATATAGGGTGAGTATGCAGGTAGAAAAGTTAACTTAGTTTACTTGGACTCACAGAATCCTAGACCTAAAGAGACTTCGTGATTGAGCTCAGCTCATCTATTTTGGTGTGGCTACAACCTTGGGCAAGCCAGAGATGGAGCTGAAATACCATTAACAGATTCCAGCCCAGATACCATTGACTGTGAAGGTTCTGAGCTTGACAAAAGACCCTCTGTTAAAAAATGAGATGTCAAAGATGTATTAGCAATACCTAAGACATAATTGAAAAAGAAAACTAATAAAAAGAAAATAAGTTTTTCCCTGCGTAGTTTTGTATTACCATGGCTCATGGCTACTCCTGAATTAATTTCCCAGGGACCACATTGACTTTGAACTACAGCAGCATGAATCTCTGCAGGTCCTGCCTCATTTTAACTCCAATTCTGAGTCACTTTTCAAACCTTTATGGAACACACCTGCATTTGTAAAAACACTATAGTGATGCACTGTCATAAAGAAATATGAGCTGGGCATGGTGGTGTACACCTGTCATCCTAGCACTTGAGAGGCTGACAGAGGATTGCCTCAAGTTCAAGCCAGCCTGGGCTACACAGCAAGTTCAGGGTCAATCTGAATTAGTGAGACCCTGTCTCCGAAAGAAAAAAGAGGTGGGGTGGAGATGGATATGGTCCCGAGTCCAAGTCTATCATAATCTAATAAAGTACTTCATAAAAAGACAGCATCTCAGTAGTTTAATATTACTTAGAGGGGCACTAATTCTTATAGGTCAACAGAAATTATTGCGAGCCTGAGTGGTCAGAGAAAGCTTCACAGAAGAGGGGTGATTGGGCCTGCCTTTAAAAGGAGGGCTTAAACCCTACAGAGGCAAGGAGGAGAAAAGAGCTCAGATCAAGCAGAATTTGATTACAAAAGCTCCTGCGCAAAGCATACCAACTGGACTAGAACCATTCCCAAAGGCTTTTCGATGCCTCAAGAAACTTGTTCATCTGGCCTTTATAGCTCATTAAATCTTTGATTGGTTGTTTCCCTTTATATACATTCCTGCCGTTTTTATAATCTCTTACCTACTGCTGTCCATTGATTTACATCCTGCTTATTCCTGCCGTTTTTATAATCTCTTACCTACTGCTGTCCATTGATTTACATCCTGCTTATTCCTGCCGTTTTTATAATCTCTTACCTACTGCTGTCCATTGATTTACATCCTGCTTATTCCTGCCGTTTTTATAATCTCTTACCTACTGCTGTCCATTGATTTACATCCTGCTTATTCCTGCCGTTTTTATAATCTCTTACCTACTGCTGTCCATTGATTTACATCCTGCTTATTCCTGCCACGTTTGATGTAAAATCCTAGTCCACACATATCCTCTGGTGACTCGCTACATGTAACTTCATTCTTCTTTTTATCCATGTTACTCTGAACTACTGCTTACCACTTAATTCATTCTATCTCCCCAAGCACTCAATAAACTTCGGGCTCCTTTTCTGGTCTCTTTGCTTCTCAGGATCCATAAATGTTAGTCTATCTCAAAGACCGAGTCCTTCCCGTGGACTCGTACCCCTCCCTGGTGTGACACAGTGAAAGGCTCTGCCCTGCTTCTGCCACTGATTAGTTGGTAGATGGCTAGTCAGGTGCTTTGATTATCACAGGATTTCACAGTTTTTATTGGTAAGTATGATGAGGCTTGAGTTCAGCTTTTCTTCCCCATTTTTGACTACATTTGTCTAATTATAAAAGATACATTCCCTTTTTTGTTTTTTATCTTACTGAGTTTATTGGTACTTTTTAAGTGTACAGTACAGTTACATTCATCATTGGGAGCTTGTACCTTTACAGGACAGATCTTGATTCTCATTTTTTGTACATTCCTGTTTTTGTAAGTAGAAGATCATAAAGAAGCAGACGTTTACAAGCCCCACCCCTAATATATATTTTTATAACTTATCAGGAACAAGAGATATATTCATTTAAGGACTTCAAGGTACTTTCCAGCTCTAAAATCTTTTGTTTTTGGCCAATAATATATTTTCTTTAACACGCTCCCGTTTTCTTTAACACTGAACCATCAGTGAAACATGCGTGACTGTCCTTTCTGGCAGCTTGTACCACTGATGGTATAAACAAATCTAATCACTTTTATCTCTTTTTACTAACCAAATTATTAAAAAGCTGCTTGACTGGATAGCCCTACATATACTGCCAGTTGTTCATCCCTTCCAACAGCAGAGAGCAACATCATGAATGTGTTAAAAAGTCATCAAGATAAGCTAGGCAGTGTGGGCTGGGGATTTAGCTCAGCGGCACTGCACCTGCCTTTCAAGTGCAAGGTCCTGAGTTTGATCCCTGATACCAAAAAAAAAAAAAAAAAAAATCTAGGCAGGGTAGCACGCACCAGTAATCCCATCTACTCAGGAACCTGAGGCAGAAAGATTGTAAGTTCAAGGCCAGCTTGGCAAAAGCTAGACCCCGTCTCAAAATAAATTCTGGGGATGCAGCTCTGGGATGCAGCTTAGTGGTACAGAGCTCATCTAGCATGTGCAAGGTCCTAGATTCAATCACGGTACTGACTTTTCATACTTGGCTCACCCGTCAGATTAATAAAAATATATGTCCAACGATTTCCCAGTTTTGATATCCAACTGTTAAATTTAGAAAAGTCCATGGGCTGGGGATTTAGCTTGGTGGCACTGCACCTGCCCTGCAAGCGCAAAATCCTGAGTTTGATCCCTGGTACCAAAAAAAAAAAAAGTCCAATGTCTTTTAGGCCAAACGGAGCCTGATGGTAATTGCATATTACCGTGAAAGAGAGACTTCAGTCTGATGTATATACTTGAGAATAGCTGCTGCAAACCTATTACATGTATACCATACTGAGCTGTTTGTGTCAGTGAAAGCTCTAAAAGGTTCACGGTGGCATTTTATTTTCTGCTTTAACTTTGGCAAAGAGACACAGTTGGCATTCAGTGAGTAAGAAATGAGAGTATGTCTAAGTTCATTCTGCACCCCTACCCCCAGCCTCCCCCCTTTTTTAAATCTTATTTTGAGGCAAGGACTTTCTAAGTTGCTCAGACTGACCTCTAACTCAGGATCCTCATTCTCAGCTTCCTGCATAGCTGTGATTATACCATGCACTACCACGTCAGGACCATATAAGTTTATTTATACTGTTTCTGGAAGCATTAAAAAAATGAACTCCGTTAGAAAAAGGAAACATGTCATACTTAAAAACTGTTGGCTAGGCATGGCGGCACATGACAGACAAATGCAGGACTTCAAGGCCAGCCTGGGCTACATAATTAAACCCTATCTCAAAAAAAAAAAAAGTTGCTAGCATTTTTTTAAATTAAAAATGGACAATAAGGAACCATTCTTTTTTTGATTTTTACTTCTGAACAGGTGGTTTGTTCTGGATGCAGAAACCAGAGATCTAGTTTCTATCCACACTGACGGGAATGAACAGCTCTCTGTGATGCGCTACTCAATAGGTAGGCAAAAATACCATCCTGGGGCTGAGGATTTAGCTTAGTGGTGCTGCCACCTGTCTCACAAACACAAGATCTCGAGTTTGATCCCCAATACCCCCCCCCAAAAAAAAATCCCATCCACATTCACAGAACTTCACTGTAATTGCATAATTTTACTTCTAATAAAGCTGACTTCTTTTTTTTTTCTGCTCTCTATAAAGTTGTTAAGTATTGAATTTGCTTTACAAATAACAAATTAAATTCCATTGCTGGCAACTGTAAAAAATATGCTGAAGTTAAACAATTTTATTTAAATTTAAATAAATTTTGTCTAAATTCTTAAACAGGGTTGGGGATTTAGCTCATTGGTTCCATCACCTACCTCTCCAGCACAGGGACCTGAGTTCAATCCTCTGTACCAAAAAAAAAATTATTAAACAATTTTATCTTAATTATCAAGCAAACATACATTTAGAATGAACTGTACAGTTGTATTTGAAACTGAAAACAATAGAGTCAAATAACTTTAAAAATCTATACATACTTAGAATTGTGACTAGGTATAGGGCTCAATTATTACATCTAGTTAGCAACCTTTTCTTTGTACTTTAGAGAGTATGAAAGAAATCATAATATTCAAAAAATACAGATACCGGCCACAAGTATTCAACTCTGTTAGAACTATTACATTATTATCGGTTACAGAGTAATGACTGGCCCTTAATTAGATAAAATACTTAGCAATTGTAACAACGTGATAACTCCATTCAGTTCTGAGTAATGGTTTTTTACAGTACTTTATTCAAAATGTTAATTTCCATAATAATTTAGTTGCCTTTTCCCATTATTGTTGTGGTTTTGATTTAGAGTATTCTGATCTAGTATTAGTCTGATATTTTATTTTATTTGAAAATATATTCTAGTCATTGTTGGTTCAACATCCAAAGATGTTTTTTTTTTTAATTGCTCCTTAGTTATCTTAAAGGAAGCACAGAATAATGTTCTCTGAATTGAACAAAGATAGAAAAGTCTGTGCATCATGCTATAAGCCTAGAAAGTCATGTTGAAATAGCAAAGTTGTTTTGTTTTGTTCTTGTTAATTTGTTTTTAGTGCTGCAGTAACAAATTATCACTGCAGATGTAGCAATTAAAGTTGAAATATCAACAGGCTTCATTTACCATTTGCTTTGTGCTTAGTGCTGTGGTAGGTACAGTGGAGGAAGCCATAAAAGAAAACACGGCCTCTTCCCAAGATAATCTTCCCCATAATTGGAGAGATATATGTGCTGGCTGAATCAAGCAGCTATGCACTCTGCTTGCCATACAAACAATGTGCCTCCGCTCATAAAGGCATGCTAACCTCTCTGGATTTGGCCAGTTTTGGCTAACTGGAAGAGGAGGCACAGGGAAAGAGACTCCAAGGCCAGTGAGCATCTATAAGAAGGGATGCTATGTTAGACTTGTTTTTCAAATGGACTTGGTGATAAGACTTGTTCATCAAATGCCAAATAACAGTTACATTGATGAGATTTATAAAAACATTTGCAAAGTTTCAGAATAGATCTAGTAAACAATCAACTTATTTCTCTAGTCAGCACTTTTTCCTGTTTCATTCTAGATGGTACCTTCCTTGCTGTAGGATCTCATGACAACTTTATTTACCTCTATGTAGTCACAGAAAGTGGAAGAAAATATAGCAGATACGGAAAGTGCACTGTAAGTAATGATGTGAAATATATTAGGTTGTGAAACTACTGGGAAAATTGGCTTCTTAAAAAATTATATGATTATATGTATGTGTCTGTTGTTTTCTATTATTAGGTACTTTAAACTTTAATCTCTATGTTTGAAAACTGAGATTACCTAAGAGAACATTGTAGTTCCCTACATACTCTAGAGTGACACTTCCTTCTGGTGGGAGTTTAATATTAGTCCCTCTAAAGGGCCGGGGATTTAGCTCAATGGTTCTGCTGCCTGCCTCACCAAGCGCAAGAACCCTAGTTCAATCCCCGGTCTCCCCCGC